AATAGGGAATCACAGACACCCATTGCACTGTCTCTGGTGTGTCATTCCTCCAAACTCCCCAATATGTATCCCTCCTCTTTTTTTCTAGTGGAGTACAGGAGTCCTTAACACTTCTAGTTGTCAGTTGCTGGAGTGGTGGACCATGGAGGTTTCTTCTTGAGTGGGTTTTGAAAAACAAAATAAACCTTTCTAGCCCATAGTTGTTCTAATCATTATAGTATCAAACAACGAATGAAAGAATAATATTCAGTATCCAAGGTGCTTCCCCCGGATGTGTTTTTGCCTGGTCAGACTGTACTTGTTGATCATATATTTCTTATGCAAGGTGCTTCCACTGGATGTTTTTTTACTCAGGTGGACTGCACTTGGCCTAAATCTATGTATCCAAGGTGCTTCCCCTTGGGTGCTGCCTTGCAGACTGCACTTGTTGATATGTATATTTTATTTAAGGTGCTTCTTCTGGGTGTTTTTGCCCAGATGGACCACACTTGGTATAACCTGACTTAACCCAAGGTGCATTCCCTGAATGTTTTAGCCCAGGTGGACCACACTTGTTCTAATCCTATGTATCCAAGGCACTTCTCCTGGATGTTTTTTGCTTGGATAGACTGCACTTGTTGATCTAAAATTCTTATGCAAGGCTCTTCCACTGGATGTTTTGTCCAGATGGACTGCACTCAGCATAATCTGATGTAACCTATGGCACTTCCCTTGACATATACATATAAGGGAAAGTGGTTGCATACACACAAGCCTTTCCATGTAAATCAACACAATACTGATTCATGTCATAGTTATTCAGTGCTGTACATCTCTTTATTGACTTCACTGGTGCCTGTCAATTCAGTTCCACACCAGTTATTACTGTACTGATTGCTAGGTGAAGAGCTTACCTGTTCCAGAAGTAGTGCTGTACTCCACTGGTGTGCTTTCTTTTCATATTCAAGCACTCACCCGTTCTTTCAGTGTGGTATCTTTCTGCTTGATTTGAGATTGATGCCCTTCATTGGCTCCTCCACCTTGGCAATGTGGGATTGTAGCTTTGAGTGAGCGGAGGTAGTACTGTTTCGGAAGTGAACGTTTTCTTTCTGTGAAAATGTATATCCGATAGGTACTTACCTCTACTCACCCATTTCCCATCCTTCCTCCCCACTGAGATGCTGGAGTTTATGGTTTGTGCCTGTCAATTCCTGAAAGTGAGGATTGTTCTAGAATAGTAGAGGGAGCCAGCTGTACCAGTATAGATGGCGCAGCACGATTGGTGGAGACTAGTCACAGGATCAGCACATGTGGTATAAAGACTGGTGCACTGTAGCAAAATTTGTTTTTGCAATGCTTAGAGGGCAGACCAGGATCAACAAAAGCTGTGAGTGAGAGGAGAGGTAAGTATCTATCAGAAATACTTTTTCAGAGTAAGAAAATGCTAACATTTCCTACTTGGCAAATCACTAATTTCAACTAGAGATGACCACATGGTTGCCATTTTGTCTATCTTTTAAAATATGCAGTAATCTCCCATTGGTCTTGTGTAAGTCAGATATATTGATTATTTAATATTTACAATGTTTTATTATCACCAATAAGGGTAATAATGTTTTTATTTATAATATATCAGGATTATAATTAGAAATAATTAAGTTGGCAGTTAGCCAATTTATTTGTATACATTGCTTGAATAAGATAAGCATAAAAATAATATTCAATAAATAGGGATTTGAATCATCAGAATATTTTTTGCAGTTGCTTACCATTCTCACTAAACTTAACTAAGTATGTCTGATTTAATGATAATTTTATTTCATTTGGTGAACAGAATATAAAAACCCTCATGTTTAAAGTTGTTGGAACTCAAAAACTCCTACTATATCTTTTACAAACACTATACTTTTACATAAACAACCAAACATCAACAGGATACCTTTATTGAGCCTTAACAATCTCCAATCATGTGACTTCCTTATTTCATATTGTATATATATCTCTGGGTATAAGTAAGTTACTTGTGTCATATGATGCAAAACCATTTCAAAACATTATACATTTATTCCCGTGTTAAACTTCTAATAAACTTTTCTTTGATACCAACTTAACCCACCTCTTAAGTTGTATAATCTTACTTCATTTGAAGTTATCTGATTTCCTTTTATTGAAGAAAATGTCTATAGCTTTTTCAAACAGATTAATTTAATACATGATGAAAAGATCATTTACAAAAACTGTATGAAAAATCTTTAAATCTGTATATTTACTCTACTATAACATGATAGTCTAATTTTTGCTTTTTCCAATCATATTTAAATTTTTTATAACAGTTTTCAAAGCTGTGTTTCATTCATAAATGATCAAATAATTTGAGGTGGCAATATAACAATGTGGCAGGGAAGACCTATATGAAAACTAAGAGAAACGCTTGAAAATAAAGAATGGATAATATATTCTCAGGGGTAATAAAGTTATTCTTTGTTATGGGCAGAAAAACTAAAAAAAAACAATAAATAAAAAGCCAATAAATATGGTTTATAAATTATATATTTTTTTATAGTGAGGCAATTTAAACATTGCTTGCTGCCATAAACAAGTAAGAGTATGTTTATGGTGGTGACTAGTGCTGATTGTTTAGGCTACATACTAACTGTAGGCCTAGTCTGTGATATGTTGTTTACAAGTCTTGTTCAAGAGAGAGAGAGATTCAAACTGCTAATTAGACAGCATCTATTACATGATCTATGGGTAAGTTTTCTTTCAAAATATAAAAAAACAGAAATATTTACATCACAGGATACAGTAGCATCCAAAAAACAGCCATAATTATGATGAAACTAGTCACCAAGATGGATGTAAAGTACGGTTAAACTAAAATAAAACATCAGGCCATATATACTGTTACTTCTATATGTTAAATTGAAAGTGGATATTATATTAATGATATCTTTAGTTCTTTGTAAACTTTAAGTGTTTATATATACATTTTTCATGAGGATGGAAGTTAACAAGGCCTATTCAAGTTTTTCCAGTTTTCAGTAGAGCTGGGTGATTTAATTGATATAATCTATTACCTTTGACCTACAATTACATTGATTAGTGTTACATAAACTAATTGTTTAATTGAAATTAGTTTCAGGTTGTTACTGTTTTCAATTATTTCAACAACTGATCAATCAAAATTCTGATTATATTGATTGTTATTCAAATAATCAGCTAATAAAAAATTAGTGTTTCTAGTTATTACTGTTTTTGATATTCCAGCAATTGATCAATCAAAATTCTGATTATATTGATTTTCATGAAAATAACCAACTTATCAAAATTAGGGTTTCCAGTTTTCAATATTTTTGATTATTACAACTATCCAAGTAATTTAAAAATAAATTATAATCAAACTTGATCGCCTTGTCTTTGTTATGGTAAAGTTTCTAAGGCTACTTGCAAATGTCACTAATTTTGAACTGCTAACCTGAGTGAAGGCAACTGTCTGGCAGCATCTACCACCAACCTTTAGATAATCAATTAGCAAATATCACTCTAACTGTCAATCACTAGTTATCAGTATGTGAAATGTTACATGATGTATGCTGCTTAAATTATTTGAAAATTTTGTTATATAGGTATACAAGATGAAAAGAACTTTGCCTAACTTGGATTTGATACTTTGGTCACTTGTTTTTATGAGTGAGGAATGGCTTTGGCTGGTTGAATTACCTTCCCTTATCTTGGTTTTTGTTATGTGTATATTGTATATTTGTATGCAAGACTCTGTTAATCTAATGTTGTTTTTGGTGCTTATATTGACCTTCAGTGGTGTTTGAAGTTTGGTAACTACTGGATTAACAGTTTTCTTTTCACATAATTTCCAATTTTATATATTAACTTTGCTGATTTCCAGTTGATTTCATGATCAAGATTTCTCATGTATAGAAAAATAGCATTAATTGTTTGACCATTTACATCTTTTTTGTGTACTACAGTCTTGTTAAGTTCAACCAATCAAATATCAATGTATCCATCCATTAGTTTTTTGTGATATCAAGATCAGGAACTCACTTCTTGTAGTTGTTGTACCTGATGATACCAGGTTAACCTGATGAAATGTTGTAACCATAGGTATTATACTCTATATATTCAACAATAAACATGTTTTACATAACACAAAATTTCCTTTAATTATTTAAGGGTTATTTTTGTCTTTGAAAAGGAAAAGGAAAAAGATGAGCTAAGAAATACAGGCCAATTAAAGTTCATTATTAATACAACAAATATGTTTGTCTAACTGAGTAAAATTGGTTATAAGTTATAAAAATTGTATGTGGATGATAAAAATCTAACTCTTAAAAGGTTTAGATTAAAATATGTATTATAAAACTAATTATTTTATTCTTTAATTGGAGGTTATATCTGAGGAAATAATGGACAATTTTTTGTTTTAAAAAAAAGGTTTTGTGTGTCATTTCTCTCACAATATATTTGGTATAGGACTAACACTACTTATTTGGGGTTATTAGAGTTTATGTTTCATCTGGAAACAGTTTATCTTTTTTTTTGGTTTTGTTATACTTCACTGTCATCATTCAACATGTGAAACTCATTAATATTGAAGTTAATCTTGTTTCTAACATGATCTTATGTTTTAATCATTAGAAACAAATAACTTGGAGCTGTAATACTTGAAATTTGAATGAAAAATTTAACCTGTAGAACTTTATTAGTCAGTATGATGTTTTTTTTTATGTAAAGCTAAATGATGTAGAGCAAAAGATTAGCTGAAAAGTAAACAAAAATTAGTGGAAGTTATTCACTCCACAGTGCCCTGAGAAACATGACAACATCTACATTTTACTACAAAAGTTAAATTTGTTTTTATTTTGTATTATTATTTCATTATCACCATGTGTGAGGAAGTTTATTTTCAAATTTGTTTCGTGGTGTACAGATTTTTCTGCTTGAAGTTAATTTTTATTGGGTTTTTTTTCATAGTTAACTGGAATTTATTTTCTTTTGTTTAGGAGGAACATATTGAAAAAGCAGCATCTGCAGCTTACACCTATCTTCTTCACAATAAAGACCAAGAAGTCATGAAAAATAACTTGAAATACTATTTAGAGTTGCCAGGAATGGATGTCACGAAACTCAATTATTTGGAAGCTAAAGAGTATCAAGTGAGTTTGATTTCTACATCATATTTCAAGTAAGTGATCTGCATGTTTAATTTCACTGTTATAATTAAGCTATTTATAAAAATTTAGTAACCTTTCATCAATTATTTCATGTTTGTGATTATGTTAACATTTGTACAATATACTGTACATAAGTTGATAGATGGCCATATAGCCCATTAACTTTATATCATTATTCCATAATCATTCACTTTGCATTGTGGCACAGTACGAGTCTTTCTAAATGTCATGATGTATTGTACAATATCAATTAGGGAGGCTCCTTCAAAAAAAAAGGCAAAAGCTGTAGTAAAGAACTCCAGCAAGCTTATAAGAAAAGAAAACTATTTTGTAAAATCCTTGTTAGAGTTGTGAATTGTTATATCAACTTTTTAAATGAAGTAATCTAGCCGTTTCATAAGTATAACACACACATATATTGAAATTTACTGATATATTTCACACTTAAGTCTACAGGTTTTTATAGGTCCTAAAATGTATTTAATTCTATATTCTTTTTCTCATGTGCATTCTGATGGCTCTCAATGTAATCTGTTTTCAAAGTTTTTTCTTGTTAACATAGATGTAGTTACAATTTTCTTTTGTCTATATTGAATGTAACATGTTGGCCTGTTTATCTTTAACTAGACATGTAGGTATAGTATAATTTTTTTACAATTTAATTATTATTCAAAGAACCTATACAGTCTTTAGGAGTTTTGGTATTGAAAATGGGAATGTAACTTTCTGCTATATAGAATTCTGTAGTTTTAAAGATATATAATGCATTGCTAAATATTTTGATTTTAAACATAATTTTTGTATGGAAACTATTAAAATATAATTTCATATGACATATAAATGCTTAAAGAATATTTGACAGTGTAATAAACTATATTATTCATTATTAATAGGAGTTAGCAATAGAGATAAGTTAAGGAAAAATACTGAGACCATATGGTTCTTCTCAAGTAGGAACTTTATATCAAAGCTGGTAACAAGTATTCTGAAGGAAATTATGGGGCAGTGGTTGAACTGATGGAACAGGCCTTAATAGAATACCAGAAAGCTTTAGAGGAATGTCGCTTTTTGTGTGAAGGGGCCATAGAATCTTCCCCAGAAACTGAACTTGTTCTTTCTATTGCAAGTAAGTAGATATTTACTGTAGTATTAAATGTGTTGACATTATGGAGAGTTAAGATAGTTAGCCAAGATGCAGATTGTAATAAGTTATTGTTTAAGTATTTGGTACACTGTTATTAAAAAATACAGTGTTTTCATTAAGTTAGATGTGTTTGCTATTACACTTATGGGTGGGTGAATTCCAGTACGGTCTTACACAAAGCTAAGTTGATCTTCTTTCTGCTAAAAATTTTGAATGCTTAGTGCACCATTCTATATACTCCACAAGTTTTGTGCCACTTTTGAAAATGTATATAGCATGTGAACACCTTTCACCAATAGTATTACACCACCTATATTGGTGCAGCTAGCTTCCTCTGATTCTTCACTTTCATGATTGGCACAGCATTATTTAGACATATTTTTTCATACATGATTACCATTTACGATTGTACTTTCTTGATATTTCAATACCTTTTTAACAGTTTTCTTTTACTGTGTTTGCATTCGGGTGTTTCATGTTTTTTTTTGCATTTAATAACTTCACAATTCAATGTATCAATAACAGAAGTTCCTGTTACAGTAAACATTGCTTCTGGTAGGTCTACCCAGGTATCAGTTTCAACTTTATCTGCTGAGGAGTTACAGGCCTTAATTCACAGGGAGCTGGGTTCCTATGTGCGCTTGGTAATTTCTTTTCATTTTCAACCTAAGGATGAATACAATCAAGGATAAGAAAATTGGATTCACGTTTTTTTTGGCACCTGTTTATTTTGGCCTTTCACACTCTATGCCTCTACAGGATATCTCACCTTCCACACCTTTTTTTTACAGCTGGTTAATCAGGTATATGCTGTACATCACATGTTTCATTTTCCTCCTAGCTTGCAGATGTCATAGATTGGATATTTATGCTATTAATGTTACCAGAATTCTCTGCCATTCCTCTTATGTCTTCCTGTATCCATTTTAGTCCTTCCTCCCTTAGACCTCTATTGTGGGGTATATAGAATGGTGCACTAAGCATTAAAAATTTTTTAGCAGAAAGAAGCTCAAGATAGCTTTGTGTGGGTGAGGTAAGTACCTATCAGAAATACATTTTCATTGTAAGAAGGTCTTAACTTGTGGTGTGTAGTCATTGTTTAGTACTATGTATGTAGTTTTATTGATTGATTTCCATTTATTTTAGAAAAAGGTGGTTTGTTATTTTGCTTGTTCTTGTGAATTTGTACACATTTATTGGTATTCAAAGCTGTAAAGAATGATGAGCTTTATTTTCCCATATTCTAAAAGTCAGAGGTAAAATTAAAAGCCCCATAACTTAAAAAACCTACTTGAATAAAATTAATGATTCTACAAATTCTTTGAGCTAAAGTATGGGAAATAGGGTCGTTTGAGAAAAGTAGTTGAAAATTTTCAAAGTTTCTTTAATGTAAAAACATAGAATTTATTTCAAAGACTGAGAATTTGTGCTTACAAGTAGACTACTGTGTAAACTTCAGGTTCTGAAGCAATAACTGTGAATACTTTTGAACAAAGGATCAGATACAATAATAAATGAAACTGGGCTTTAAGATACAGTATAGGTGTAGATATATAAAGTTGTGATCATATTAAGCCTTTCTTTGTGAAAAACAGTAACAGTACGAGGACATTGTGGTAGAAGCTTCCGAGATCGAAGTATTAAAACTCCTTGCTAGTTATAACTGGTAGGGGTAGAAATGCATTTTATGATAAACCTACACACCATAAATTCTGCATGTATTTGCTATTAAATCTTTGTTTCATCTAGCAGAGAAAAAAATGTTTATTTAATTGTCATAAATCTTTATTAGCTAAATACTTTGTTATCTATATGTCCCTAAGTTTGATTAAATAAGGGAGTCAACTGTTGCTTATCATTTATTATACAACAAATATTGCTTATATTTTAAAGTAAAATGAAAAAAAATACAAATACAGATCAACACAGTTAGAATTCACTTTGTAGTCATCTTGACCTTAAACATCTTATTGGCTTTCACATTTCAACTCAGTTTTGCATTGTTACAATTCTAGGAATTGTTCTTTGCATTATTGAAACATTGTTGACTGGAAGCTTGTGCATTGAGGGTGGGGAGCATTATTGAAAACCCCTACCCTCTCTACATTTTAATAGCAAGAGACTTGAATATCAGCATGCCATTGCACTACCATGCAGATGGATAATGTATTATGTTGGTTGTGATATTTAATGTGTTATTTAATTGAATAATTTATTAAGTAATCTAGGTTTCTTTCAAGCAAATTCACAATGCATGCATTTTGAATTAATTTCATTAAACATTTATAAATTACACAACAGTTCTCTGTGTTATTAAAATTCATATCAGAAGCATTTTTTCTCCTACAATGTTTGCATTTAGATTCTTGTTCACATTCTTAACAATAGTAAATCAATGAAATGGGAATGTTTTTTTTTTCAATACTATTTATTTTTTAATAATATGTGCTCGAATTCAAATACTGTTAACTAAGGTTTAACTTTATGTATAAATGTAATTTAATTTTGACATACAAAGCAAATACTTGTTTGTGATTTGTTAGTTCTTACTTTTATTACATAAAATGATACAAACATAAACCTACATAGAGGAAATGGCAAATTATTTACGTAGTACGATGAAAAAAATTAAAACATACTTTTTGAGCTGTTTAGCTTTTCTTTTTTAACCTTCTTATGCATTGCATACTTTAAATTTTCATGCTGAACATTTTTTAATTTATCATCGCTCTTTCATACTTTAATATTTTTACATCAGAAAAACTTTGAATACATCTTAAATGGCAGTCAGCTGTTAACTAATGAGACACTAAAATATGGAATGCATAAAGAAGGCAAGCCAATGTTTACAAGTAGAGGTTTAGTTTTTATTATGTTGCTCACTTGTTCATATCTTTAAACTAGACTCCTTGGTGTTTCATAACCAGTATCTAAGTAAGTTCTTATGAAACAGACCACAAAATGCATACATGCTACAACATGCATTAATTTTGATCTAAACACATATCTGCAATGTGCTCATGTGTATATCTACCTCCCACCTATATTGTATTGCTGTCATCACCTAAAATACAATGTTAATGGCAATACAAGTTGAAATAATATAAAGTAACACATGCAGCATAATTATAGTTAATTTAAATAGTAAAAACAAGAAAAGATAATCCAGTTTCACTTAAGATAACATCATTTGGCTCCATATGTACTTGTAAATGACTGTCAAATCCCACTATTTAGTTAGACAAGAGTGGTCCAAGAGTTGATAGTTGGTCTTCAGTTTTTTACAGACAGCAAAAATAATGGGAAATGTAACCTGGGAAATTTTTTTTACAGTTTTTTGTTATTATTGTTAAATAGGCAATTTGTGTTTACTACAATATACATTTTAAGAGTATTTTATTAGTTTATATACAAGTATATTTTACGCTAATGTTAAAATAGTCCCAAATCCACTTTATTATTGTGTTCATGAAGGGAAATTCACCTAGATTGTGTTTTAAAATATATTTTAAGTATTACAACCTGTCAATTTTTAAATATCTGAAAATTCATGCTGTTTTCTTTTTCTTCAAATTTTAGATTGATTTATTTTCCCCAAAATACAGGCTACTTCCTGTCTTCTTGTGACAATACAAATGACATATAATAGCATTGATATGATTTTACTGATATCTTAATCTATTTTTTTTTCCCTTGGATAAATTTAATCTTTGCCATTAGTTTAATGTTTCCCTTGTCATTTTATTTCTTCAGTATAATCCTATGTCTTGGATCTTTGTAAAATATATAAATTACTAATTTGGATTTTGAGGTTAAAGTGTTTTTTATTTAAAAATAATTTTTCTTCTGACTTATTTACTTTTTTTTAATTGAAAAATTCAACAGGATGAACAAATATTTTCAATAAAGTTAGCATTATGTATATGCTATCTTGTAGCCTTTGGACTATATAAAAGTGTATGCTCTTATCTTCTGCTTTCAGTTGTGTTTCCAGATAAAGGAATTAATGATACGTGTATATTGGACAATGTTGTATTTATTTTAGAAAAATGTTTAGTTTTCTTATCATTTTTTCTTTATTCACTTCTTTGCCATTTCTGCTCTTTTATTCAATGTGGATGTTTTGTAGACTTGTTAATACAGTAGAAAGGTCTTATTAGTGAAATTATTGTTTTTAACCCTCTATGCAAAGATGGGGTTTAAAGTGTGCATGCCACAACCTTTTACATTGTTCTATTCAACATGTTATTAGTTATTTGATGCCAGATTTATGAAAATTTTATTTTTTAAAGTTTTCAGTGCTAATTAAAGGATGGAAACCATTTTCAGTAAAGACTACAAACAACTAGAGATACCTCACTACTATAAAGGCTTGGTTTGGTCTGAAGTTTCATTTGGTGGTAGTGTCCAGGGTCACTGATGAGGAGTGGAATTCTCCAAAACTAGTCTGGCCCACAGACACACCCTCAGTGAAAAAATAGACCATTCCAAGCCTTTATTTATTGTAAAACAAATGTTTAAACAACTCTGTTCAATTATGTACCAGCTGCCTAGTGTCGGCTAAAAATGTGGAGAATTAAATTGTGGCAAAATTCTACAAGTTCTTTAAATAGCTATAGAATGATAGGGTTCTTTTTTGTGAGTGTAAAGTACTTAAATACACCATTCCGATTTTCAATACCTCACTATTATAATGGCTTGTTTTGATCTGAAGTTTCATTTAGTGGTAGTGTCCAGGGTCACTGATGAGAAGTGGAATTCTCCAAAACTAGTCTGACCCACAGACACACCCTCAATGAAAGAATAGACCATTCCAGGCCTTTATTTGTTGTTAAACAAATGTTTAAACAACTCTATTCAATAGAGATAAATGTTTTTTGTTCTACTTAGTGTTTTGGCTTATGCTTTTTCAAAGTGTTTTTGAATGTCATAGATTACAAAAGTTGTTTGCCATCTTTGTTGAAAAAGAGTTATGAACTATT